TAGCGTTCCGGGACGACACCCAAGCATCCCTGTCCCGTGACAGTGTACTATGACCTTATAGCATCGCTATACGTAAATCCTTTCGATCCAAAATTAAAAAAATCATGCACGCACAGTCGCAGCAAGTTTGATCAGAAGTCCGTACTTCTGGCATTGCGTATATGTATCTTACAACTATATAAACTAAACGTAAATCTTTTCTGGACCAAAAATATCAAATCATGCGTAACAGTTTTGCTCATACACTCATACACTGTATGAGCAAAACTACCCCGCACGATTTGATATATTTACATACTCTGTTTGAGCAAAACTACCGTATCTCGCACGATTTGGTCCAGAAAGGATTTTCGTTTAGCTTACACAACTACATGTACCGGTGGAGATGCCCTAACGCTGAAGCTGAAAGATTTTGAAAGCGCTTAACGTAATATTGTATTAAAACAGGACAAGATGGTTGATTGAATGATTGAGAGACCTTTCAAACTTAATTAAATAACATCTCGTGTTTTGAATTTGCAAGGTCAAAAAAGATCATTAAGCTACGGGTAAATAGATCCCCACAAAATATATTTTTTAGAAGGTCTGTTGAATGTCAGAATAACCGGGTTTTCGCTTTTCAGATTTCCCTCGCCCATTTCGCCAATCAGTGATGGGCTAAAATCCGTTTTCTTTGCTTTTTTTGCGAAAACAAAACGTTAAGTTGCTGTGAAACAAGCGCCAAAATGTTTTTAGAGTGATGATCCTTTAAAAGTGCATTTTTATTTACTTTCTAAGCATTTTTGTTCTGTTTGCAAATTGAGCGGCGCCAATTTTATTCTTTGAGCACAGGCAAAGCAGGAACCACGTGGAGCCCTCGTCGACGCTCCCGGTTCTCAATCCCTAGTGGTTGGCTCTGTCAATACGACGCGTGTGGACGTGATCTCCTGTCCTTCACCCTCCACAACGCGCCGGAACCGCTGCCGACGCACGCAAATTGACGTCAAAACGAGCATCTAAAGGTGCGCCCTACCTTGACCGGTAGAACGCACAACTGCCACTAACCTAAGCTCACACTCTGTAGCCATGTTCGGCCGCTTCTTTAAGAACAAGGAAGATGGGAAGAGCGGCCCCCCAGGCCATCAACGCCAGGGCCTCGCAGCCGACGAGCCCCCCGTCGGTGGAGGGTTCTTTAATCTACCGCCCCCCGTGGCCAAGCCTTATAATGGCCAGAATTCTACCGCTCCTGTGGGAGGAGGAGGCTCAGCTGCAGGGTACCCTCCATCAGGGTACCCTCCTAGTACCCAAGACAGTAACCCCATGACTGCCGTACCCGTACCCGTACCCGCCCCCGCTCCTGCACCAGCGCCTGATATGTTCGGCGGCATGTCCGTCAGGGCTCCTCCAGCTACTAAAGCAAGCAGGTATCAGTCTCAGACTCAGAACCCGACTCAGTATGGAGGCTATGGCGCTCCGCAGCCTTCTACACAGCCTAGCGGTAGTTTATTCAGTGGTCTGGACGTCGCTCCTATCGGTTCCGCACCGACTGTACCGGTACATGAAGAGACGGCGGCTATACCGACGTACGGAGAGCAACGGAAAGCAGCCCGAGGCTCGGGGTCCTTCAACTACCTTGACGTAGCGACTTCGAAGCCCACAGACGCGTTAAACTCGTCTCAGTACTCTAGAAGCAGCAGTACGACGTCGCGCGCGAGCTCGAAAACCGGCAAGAAGAAGAAGAAGAAGACGTTCCGTCCTGGTTTCGGTCGCCAGCTGTCGGACGAGTCCGCGGCGGCCTTGCAACGTGGAGATCTCAAGGAAGACGACGTCATCCAGCAACAGCGAGAAGGACGACTCCTGTCGGACCGCTCAGACAGCTCGCGGAGCTCTCGGAGCGCCACGAACCCCACGGATTTGGCGCATTTGCTGCCTCCAGTCAAGACCGGCTCGGTGTTACAGGGTCTGACAGTCCATAAGACCAGTACGCCTTCAGGCGGCGTACTAGCGGGTCTTACAGTGCACACGTCGGCGTCTCCAGCCAAATCTGACGGTACGAATGGTGCGCGGGCCGGTCTCAGTATCCACAAGACGCCAGAGGACGACACGGACGAGCCTGCGCCAGTGGAGGAAGCCCCTGCGCCTGTCACGCACAAGACGCCAGCCCCCGTCGCCCCTCCCACCCCAGAGGAACGGCTGTTTCACACTCTACGCGACTTCCACGAGAGCGCCGTGAGCTTTCGTGAGCTCACAGTGAAGCAGAACGAAGAGGAGAACCGACTTCTGGACCGCAAGGCGCAGCTCGCGCACCAGTTGACGCAGTACGAGATGGATCTACGTGACGTGGAAGCGCAGCAACATCACGCGTGCGAAGTCGAGGACTCCCTAATGCCGACGCGCTGAACACCACGATCAACAGCGTGCGTCACTGTATC